TACATATCATTCACCACCGCCGCCCACCACGCACCACCACATCCATCAATTGTTTAGGCTTCTTCAAGCTCCGAATTTTTTGGTGGCGGTGTAGAAGCTCGCGGCTTGATTGATTTTGTTGATTTACGATGAAGGGTCTGTAGATGGCTATGGAATGCGTTTTTGCAGGTCTAAAAATGGTGGCGGGTCCGGCGATGTTGTTGTGGAAGTAGGAGGGAGAATTGGAGTGGGGATGGGCCGAGGTTTGGACTCGCTTCTCCCAATTGAGGGTGGCCCATTTCGCGGCGGAGGTGCAGCGGTGTAATTTTGCGACCGTCAAGAGGGAGTTTTGTTACACCATTTTCATCTTGCAGCTGGTAGCGGTAATCGTTGGTGGGTACTGCTACATGTTGGGATGATGGAGAATGAAGAATGGTACGTTGGGGACGACGGAGAATGAAGAACAGGGAGGGAGCAGGGGCTTGGAGACATTTTTTACATTTCACAGTTGAAAATTAAGAAAAAATCGTAGTAGGAGCGTGTGAGAGACACGATTTGCTCTCAGGGGTCTCAATACCTTGACTTTGTTTACACAAGGGGTTATGAGCAAATGTTTTTTTGACAGGGGGGTATTTGACAATTAGAGATTTCACAGGGGTGGTATTTGCAATTAACTCATATATATATATATATATATATAAGAAAGAAAATATAATATATGTATAATTAATAATTAATCTTTTCCAAATTCTAATAGTTAATTGATCACTCAAACTGGGCCTATAAAGTATTAATTAGCAGGAGAATCGAACTCAGGTCGTTAAACACCGCGCACATTCTCCTACTCCGATCCACCAACTAGGCCACTGTTGCAGACTTTAATTCCATCGATCATCAAATTTTATTTTATTGACAAATGATAATTTTACAGTTAAACGACCTCTATAAATTAATACAGTCTTGACCAGTCAAATTCTATTAATTTAACGAAATACTTTTTTTGAAACGTTGTCGTCAAGTTGGGACAGGGAAAATATATTATTTTAAACGAAGTTATTAATTTATCGAGATTCTACCATATGAATTATATTATGATATATTTTTTTTATATATTTTCTTATTTAAGATAGGGTTGTAGGATTATAACTCAATAAATTGCATTTGCGTCTACCGTTATGCATAAACATATGTTTAATTAAATTCATTCCTGGAAATATATAGTCTGCATCACTCTAGTTACTAATATATGTAAAACAAATCGTATATCTCATTTAATCATACACATCCTACCAAATTAAAAAAAAGAAAACCACTTAATTAATTAAACAAGAGAGAGAGAGAGAGAGAGAGAGAGAGAGAGAGAGAGAGTACCTGTTGCCAAGAAGGGAGTGCAAATGAATAATAAGTTGTTCTTCGTCGGGCGAAAAGGTGCCACGTTTAAGGTCAGGGCGGAGATAATTGATCCAGTGGAGGCGGCAGCTCTTGCCGCAGCGGTGAAGGGCGGCATTACGAGCAATATCACTCCAACAGCCTTGCCCATTTCTCACCATGTAATTCATCAGCTTCTCGTCTTCCTCCGGCGACCACAAACCCTTCCTCATCTTTCCACCACCCTTCACTCCATTTTTATTTTCATTACTAATTTTATTATTATCATGCTTCCTCATTTAAAAAAATATAAACATTATATATAAAAAATATGGGAATATATGAATGGTAATAATAATTCCCAAGTAGAGAATTAATAATCTCTCCCTATAGTTCTTCCAATTGGGATTGATGGAGACTGTGAAAAATGAATGTATATATATATATATATATATATATATATATATATATATATATATATATATATATATATATACAGGTACGGAGCACCGCGCAATGCGCTGTGTCCGGTCGTGTCATATGTGCACAAGTATCTCGCCGGGGTTGGTGATGCCAATGCACCATGTGATACAGTGCAATCCCCGAAATTATGAAACAATTGGACGAAAATGAACCTTAATAACTTATCACTTGGTATGTACGTACTCACGACAACTACAATAATGTATAAGTAATTCTTGCCAATTATTTACAAATGCGTATTTGAATGGGTAAACAACATAAAACCCCCCTGTGTTAAGGAAAACTTGCGCCAAATCCCCCTGTGTTTTTTTTCTTGCGTAAAACCCCCTTGTGTTTTATTTTTCTTTGCACGAAATCCCTTTTTCCGTTAAAAGTTAACACCGTTAACTATAGAGGGTGTTTTGTGCAAGTTTTTTGTAACATAGGGGGTTTAATGCATATTTCTACAATACAAGGGGATTTTATGCAAAAAATAATTTATTTGTTTAAATTTCATATTATTTTCTGAAATTAAGTTGAACATATTTATTCAATTACAATATCAAAAATAAAAAATTTAATAGGTGTGGTGAATGTTTAAAAAAAAAATCAATCTTTATATGATATTATTAATGTATGAATTTTGATTTTGTAAATTATATCATTTTTTTTATTAGAATTATTATATATGTTTATAATTTATTCTTGATCAATTATATGTGAAAAGAATATAAATAATTTGAGAATTCGTTCCTACTTCCATCTCGAGTATTATTTTCTTAGTTTTCATATTTTAAATTAATAGATGTATTCGACTTAATTTAAGAAAATAATTTGAATTTAAATGAATAAATTAATTTGCATAGACCCCCCTTGTTTTGCAAAATTATGCACCAAATCCCCTTATGTTACAAAAAAATTGCATAAAACCCCATCTATAGTTAACGGCGTTAACTTTTAAGGGAAAAGGGGATTTCATGCAAAGTATAATAAAACACAAGGGGGTTTTACGCAAGAAAAAAAACACAGGGGGGTTTGGCGCAGGTTTTCCTTAACACAGGAGGGTTTTATGCTGTTTACCCATATTTGAATCCAACATAACTATTGTCGTTCAAAAATCTAATCCTACCAGCATAGTATATCTCTCAATGGTCGTATGATGCTTCCTACTATAGAAGGGAAAATTTGTTAACCATTACGATGACAAAAAATCAGATCCATACGGGTACAAATACCTTGTAGAGAGGCATGCATTCCAAATTACTTTGTCCCTCATGTTAAACAAAATCAAATAGCCTGCCGGAAAAAGTAAATCTCATTTGAATTGGCATGATACTAAATTCAAATTCTTACAAAAGAAGTTGTAATAGAAATGTTTTACACACATCAGAATGAATGATGAGTTTATGAGACACAAGTTTGGTAAAAAGTAATCAATCAGATAAGTTCCTATATGCTCCATTACGTTCCACCGATAATTTTACAGACGTATTCAGCTAATAATGCACAAGTGATAGGATTTACAATAGTCGTACTAAATTATATACTACACTATCCATTCTTTACAAAGACTAATTTACTGCGCTATTATTTGTAAGCAAGTGTGTCGTGAAACAATAAGTTATGCACAATTTTATTAACGGAATTGGTAGTCAGGTTCCGAAGCAAGGCGATCAATTAACGTTCGTAAGAAAATGAGATGTCACCAAATAACCAGGAAGAATAACCTAGGAAGTCAATAAAAATGAATAAAATTCATACCATTTTCTTATTATCACAGAGATTAAAAAAACTTCAGTTGACCTTTAGAGAATCAATCCCTAAGGAAAAAAAAGTTAATTAATTATTAACAAATCATATAAAGCAGATAAATCCAGCGGTACTGACCAACTAATTAGAACTTGTACATTGTTCTACTATATGTTATGTTACCAGAGTAACTGCAGTAGCTGCGCATAAGCTATAGTTAAACTAACCAGAGAAAGACAATGAGGCTTTACTATAGTTAAACTAACCAGAGAAAGACAATGAGGCTTTATTCATAAATTCTTGCAAGGGTTGTGCAGATGCTCCTCAAAGTGTGTCTACATTTCAAAACAATGCACAAGCTCATTTAAAAAAAAATAGTTGGCACACACCTTCGCACCTTCTAAGGAAATTCTTAATTAAGGCAGCTCTTGGACGGTTACGTTTCTTCATAAACAAAAAATGCGATGGCATATATGTTAAGTGTAGATTTTACGCTCAATACGCTTACTTTACGTGGATCTTTTGTTTAGAGTTAATTATATTTGTGCTTTAATTGATTGATTTTGTGTTTTATAGGTGAAAAACAAGAATTAGGTGTCCATGAACGAAAAAAGATCAAAAAAAAAGGAAACTGTTGCAAATAAGGAAATAAATCTAATTGGAAGAAGGAATCTCGCCACAGCTTTGGCAGTGTCCACCATTTCGAGCATATCTCTCTCATACGAATTCCAAATCAGCTGATTTTGGCGGCATTGGAGAGCTAATTCCAAGGGCTACAATTCTTATTCATGCAACATTCCAAAATTCGGACTCCAACATGGCGACAATCGAAGAACAAATCCTGATTGGGGAAAGTGGCGGAAATTGATTCCTATTAGGTTTTCACTACTTCCTTATCATGAAAAGCCTATAAAAGCAACAAGTCCCCACACCATAAAAACGAAATTATACACCACAAAACGCGAGGAACGAAGATCAACGAAGACTCAAGCATAGTTTTTCTTATTTAATTTATTTATTTTATTTTCTTTATCATAAGAATCACGAGTAGCTAAGTCTTTGTTTCTAGGATTTTATTCTGATGGAGAACAAGGAATTTAAGAGTTCTATTAGGATTAGGAGTTGTTTTATTTTTCCTATTTTTGGTAGTTTTAGTATTTTCCTAGATTAATTAGAATTTTATTTTTAGTATTTTCCTAGCTTAATTAGGATTTCTAATTGATTTGTATAAATAGGTGTCTTAGGGATTTATTTTGAAAAAAAAAAAATTTCAAATTTTAATAAAATATTTAGAGTTTTCTCTATTTTCTGGTGGATTCCAGAGTTTTCGGTGGATTCCGAATGTTATCGTGTTCTATAGGATTAATTCGTAGAAATTAATTCTTTACCGTGCTTCCGTTCTGCGTCAGTTGGCATCAGTGGCGAGGTTTTTCCCTGGTTAGATGGCGAAAGGCGTGCAACATGGAGACGACAACCGCGATGGCGATGACCGCGAGGTTGGTGACGTCTATGCAGCGATCGAACAAGCTACAGAAGGATTGCGAGTGGAGTTTCGTGAGGAGCTGCGGCAACTTCGGGCGATGCTAGAGGGACTCACCCTCAACGACAACAGCAGAAGGGGCAAACCTAACATGGCGCGCGCTGGGAACTTGGCCCGAGGTGCACGAGTTAGGAATCAAAACCACTATCATCTTCAACAAGAAAGTGATGACGGGTCGGGTGAAGACAATTTGGCGATAGTAGATGGAAACCAGCCCAGACAGAGACAAGATGATCATTGCCGGATAAAAGCTGAGATTCCCCTTTTCCACGGGAATCTTTCCATCGAGGACTTCTTGGATTGGATTTCCGACGTGGAGCGAGCGTTCGACGTGATGGAGACACCCCCAGAAAGAATGGTTAAGATGGTCGCATATAGGTTGAAAGGCGGGGCGGCTGTTTGGTGGGACCAACTTCAACGATCACGAACTCGGCAAAGGAAAGGTCCTGTACTATCTTGGAGGCGGATGAAAGGGTTGATGCACGATCGATTTTTACCGTCTAACTACGAACAACATTTGTACAATTTATATCATAATTGTTCACAGGGTAGTAGATCGGTGCATGAATACACGGCTGAATTTATGCGTCTGTTAGAAAGGAATAATTTAAGGGAAAATGAGAACCAACAAGTAGCTCGTTATTTGAATGGGTTGAGAAGTAATATTCGAGATCGAATAGGATTACAACCGGTATATAACGTTGATAACGCTCAGGGTATGGCGTTGAGAGCTGAGGATTTTGAGAAAAGAAGTACCGCGAATAATTTTAGGAGAGCGGTAACTTATACCCCACCTCAGAACGATAGAGGAAAAGCTGTAAATCAGAATCTGGTACCGACAACAACAGCCCCACGAACGCAACCCTATGCGAGAGGTGGTGCTAGTGGTTCGAACACCAACTTCCAGCAGCGAACAAATAATAATCCTTATGCGAGGCCTTTTCCTGACAATTGTTATAGGTGTCACAAACCTGGGCATCGATCTAACGAGTGTCCTGAGCGAAGAGCATTGAATCTAGTGGATGATCCGGAAAAGAGGGACGATAGTGAGAACGAGGGTTATGAAGTTGACAAAAGTGAAGAGGACGAGGAGACCGAGTATCATAGTCACGAGAATGGAGAACAGGTTAATTGCGTAGTGCAACGTGTTCTTTGTTCGGCAAGGCAACTAAGCCAACGAAATAGTATCTTTCGTTCCCAATGCTCGATTAATAAGAAGGTATGCAATTTGATTGTGGACAATGGGAGTTGTGAGAATTTCGTAGCAATGAGACTAGTGGAGCATCTGAAATTGCCTGTAGAAAAACACCCGTTTCCTTATACTATAGGGTGGATTCAGAAAGGGCCCACGGTCAAAGTAACAGAAGTCTACCAGGTACCCCTCTCGATCGGAAAGAATTATGTCAGCGAAATGGTATGCGATGTCGTTGACATGGATGCAAGTGACATTTTATTGGGGCGTCCTTGGCAATTTGACGTAAATATGGTGTACAACGGGCGAGAAAACTCCTGCAAGTTTGAATGGGGAGGCCGGAAAACGATCATGCTACCTAGGACAGAGACAACGACTACTTCGGCCCGGGAAGTCGGGAAGGACCCCGTTTTTGTAGTGGCCCAAACTGAAGGTGAGTTTATGGAAGGTGTTGAAACAGCGACCGAGATACACGCCACCTTAGTAAAATTGTTGGGAATTCCGAAAGAAGAGGCGAGTTCGAAATCGACGGTGGTAGTACCGGAAAGTGTCCAGCCTTTATTGAAGGAGTTCGGCGAATTGGTAGCCGATGACTTGCCAAATTCGCTGCCACCTATGAGGGACATCCAACACCAGATTGACTTAGTGTCCGGTGCAAGCTTGCCGAACCTGCCCCATTACCGCATGAGTCCACAAGAATGCGAGATACTATGAGAGAAGGTGGAAGAGTTGTTGGCAAAGGGCTTTATTAGAGAGAGCATGAGTCCGTGCGCTGTTTCGGTGTTGTTAGTGAAGAAGAAGGATGGCAGCTGGAGGATGTGTGTCGATAGTCGAGCGATAAATCGGATAACCATTAAATACCGATTTCCAATTCCACGACTTGATGACATGTTGGATATGCTAGAGGGGTCGAAATTATTCTCGAAAATTGATTTGAGGAGTGGTTACCACCAAATTCGAGTTAAACCCGGGGATGAGTGGAAAACGGCGTTCAAAACAAAAAATGGCTTGTATGAGTGGTTGGTGATGTCGTTCGGCCTATCAAACGCACCCAGCACCTTCATGCGTGTGATGAACCAGGTATACGACCCTTTATTGGAAAATTTGTTGTGGTTTATTTCGACGATATTTTGATTTATTGCCAGACTGAACCCAATCATTTGAGTCACTTGCGAGCGGTGCTAATCGTGCTAAGAGAAAATCTACTCTTTATAAATTTGAAGAAGTGTACGTTCGTGACCAGTCGCTTGGTATTTTTGGGATTCATTGTGGGGGCCGAAGGAATACATGTGGATGACGAGAAGGTGCGAGCTATTCGCGAGTGGCTAACGCCCATGAACGTTTCAGAGGTACGGAGTGCGCATAAGCTTGGCGTCGGTGACTTCCCCTTTCTGGGAGAAGAACTCTCTCAGACGGTCCCCTGCCACATACTTGGGCAAGTTTTTCACACATATCCGTGACCTTCCAATCAAAGATAATTAAAAAAAAATATCAATTTTAAGCATTGGGGCTGAAGTGAAGCGGGAAGATAGAAAGGAAGAAAATTACATGGTTGGTTTATGTTTATATTCTTTAATACCGAGATACTCCAACGCTGGAAGATGGACTAATTATCTCTTCTCCTCACCTCAACTACGGCCTCAATATTCCTAACAGGTGTTCCAGTGCAAATGCCACTAGCCTGATCAAACTTAATTGAAACCCCCTCAGCCAAGCCGAGCTAAATGCCAGTATAAATGCTCCGGATACGCTTTTCCTACCAAAACAAAAATCACTCAAAGTTTGCTGGAAGATGAAAAAATGAAATAAACAAACATGTGATGAATAGAAAAGATACCGTAGAATAGTTCGGTCGGAATCCGGTGCAGAAACACAAACCCTAGATAGCAAAGAGAGAAGTTGGGCTGGGCCGCATGTGGTATTGAATTTGGAAGAGTTCAGCCCTATCCAACATTAATTCATTATTAATTATAATTATAGTTATAGTTCAAAAAAATCTGAAATGAAATGATCAGTATCGATATGGTCTTAATAGACAATAAGGTCGTTATTTATTTACGCGTTTATTTCGCTTATGCTTAAAACAATATTTTGATGTAATTTCTAATGTTTTTTTAGGGTGACAAGATCCATGCTTCTATAAAACGTAATCCCTTGAAAAAGTTTGAACTTACTGTGAATGAAGGTAATACCTACATATTTCAAAATTTTATGGCGGCTCCAAGCGATCCAAAATTCAGATCAACTCGCCATACTCACAAGATTGTGTTTATTAGCACTACTCGAGTAACTAATTTCCTTGTTGAAAATATTCTTGTTGTCACTTTTAATTTTACGGATTTCCATGATATCATTAATGACAGGGATGATACATGGCTTATAGGTAATTTCATTGTGTTAGATTACGTGTTCCATTAATTTATACCAAAGATTTCATTTTTTGTGTATAACAATTATTTCCTTTTAGATGTTATTGGACATATTATTGAAAGGGATGCTTTGAGATATTATTGAACTGTCAATTGCAGATCTTAGAAAGGTCTGCTACATCAGCGATATACCACAAACTAGAACAACCTTTCCATGTGTCCCTTTTGGTGATTGACAAAAGGCAGTACAATTAATTCCACCATTCAATAGAACACATTACCAGCTACAACTGTGGCTATTGACGGTTATAATATTTGACGAAATAATCTCACCATTACTTCCTACTAAAGTGGTTCCTAATTCAGAAGCTTGAAACTTAAAAAGAAATAACAGACCTCACAAGTAATTCTGCAAGTATCCAGGAAAGACTTGTTGAAGTAGTTTGTGGCTTCCTCGGCTTCATGCTCAGTCCTAAATCCAACAAATCCAAATTGCCTGCTTTTCTCATCCCTGAACCAAACCAATGTTTCCTTATGAGTTCCTTAATTACAATTAAAGTGGCAATGTTTGAAGAACAAACTCACTTGGTGCGCATAAGCATGGCGTCGGTGACTTCCCCTTTCTGGGAGAATAACTCTCTCAAACGGTCCTCTGCCACATACTTGGGCAAGTTTTTCACACATATCCGTGACCTTCCAATCAAAGATAATTAAAAAAAAAATATCAATTTTAAGCATTGGGGCCGAAGTGAAGCGGGAAGATAGAAAGGAACAAAATTACATGGTTGGTTTATGTTTATATTCTTTAATACCGAGATACTCCAACGCTGGAAGATGGACTAATTATCTCTTCTCCTCACCTCAACTACGGCCTCAATATTCCTGACAGGTGTTCCAGTGCAAATGCCACTAGCCTGATCAAACTTAATTGAAACCCCCTCAGCCAAGCCGAGCTAAATGCCAGTATAAATGCTCCGGATACGCTTTTCCTACCAAAACCAAAATCACTCAAAGTTTGCTGGAAGATGAAAAAATGAAATAAACAAACATGTGATGAATAGAAAAGATACCGTAGAATAGTTCGGTCGGAATCCGGTGCATAAACACAAACCTAGATAGCGAAGAGAGAAGTTGGGCTGGGCCGCATGTGGTATTGAATTTGGAGGAGTTCAGCCCTATCCAACATTAATGCATTATTAATTATAATTATAGTTATAGTTCAAAAAAATCTGAAATGAAATGATCAGTATCGATATGGTCTTAATAGACAATAAGGTCGTTATTTATTTACGCGTTTATTTCGCTTATGCTTAAAACAATATTTTGATGTAATTTCTAATGTTTTTTTAGGGTGACAAGATCCATGCTTCTATAAAACGTAATCCCTTGAAAAAGTTTGAACTTACTGTGAATGAAGGTAATACCTACATATTTCAAAATTTTATGGCGGCTCCAAGCGATCCAAAATTCAGATCAACTCGCCATACTCACAAGATTGTGTTTATTAGCACTACTCGAGTAACTGATTTCCTTGCTGAAAATATTCTTGTTGTCACTTTTAATTTTACGGATTTCCATGATATCATTAATGACTGGGATGATACATGGCTTATAGGTAATTTCATTTTGTTAGATTATGTGTTTCATTAATTTATACCAAAGATTTCAATTTTTGTGTATAACAATTAATTCCTTTTAGATGTTATTGGACATATTATTGAAAGGGATGCTTTGAGATATTATTGAACTGTCAATTGCAGATCTTAGAAAGGTCTGCTACATCAGCGATATACCACAAACTAGAACAACCTTTCCATGTGTCCCTTTTGGTGATTGACAAAAGGCAGTACAATTAATTCCACCATTCAATAGAACACATTACCAGCTACAACTGTGGCTATTGACGGTTATAATATTTGACGAAATAATCTCACCATTACTTCCTACTAAAGTGGTTCCTAATTCAGAAGCTTGAAACTTAAAAAGAAATAACAGACCTCACAAGTAATTCTGCAAGTATCCAGGAAAGACTTGTTGAAGTAGTTTGTGGCTTCCTCGGCTTCATGCTCAGTCCTAAATCCAACAAATCCAAATTGCCTGCTTTTCTCATCCCTGAACCAAACCAATGTTTCCTTATGAGTTCCTTAATTACAATTAAAGTGGCAATGTTTGAAGAACAAACTCACTTGGTGCGCATAAGCATGGCGTCGGTGACTTCCCCTTTCTGGGAGAAGAACTCTCTCAGACGGTCCTCTGCCACATACTTGGGCAAGTTTTTCACACATATCCGTGACCTTCCAATCAAAGATAATTAAAAAAAATATCAATTTTAAGCATTGGGGCTGAAGTGAAGCAGGAAGATAGAAAGGAAGAAAACTACATGGTTGGTTTATGTTTATATTCTTTAATACCGAGATACTGCAACGCTGGAAGATGGACTAATTATCTCCTCTCCTTACCTCAATTACGGCCTCAATATTCCTCACAGGTGTTCAAGGGCAAATGCCACTAGCCTGATCAAACTTAATTGAAACCCCCTCAGGCAAGCCGAGCTAAATGCCAGTATAAATGCTCCGGATACGCTTTTCCTACCAAAACCAAAATCACTCAAAGTTTGCTGGAAGATGAAAAAATGAAATAAACAAACATGTGATGAATAGAAAAGATACCGTAGAATAGTTCGGTCGGAATCCGGTGCAGAAACACAAACCCTAGATAGCAAAGAGAGAAGTTGGGCTGGGCCGCATGTGGTATTGAATTTGGAAGAGTTCAGCCCTATCCAACATTAATTCATTATTAATTATTATTATAGTTATAGTTCAAAAAAATCTGAAATGAAATGATCAGTATCGATATGGTCTTAATAGACAATAAGGTCGTTATTTACTTACGCGTTTATTTCGCTTATGCTTAAAACAATATTTTGATGTAATTTCTAATGTTTTTTTAGGGTGACAAGATCCATGCTTCTATAAAACGTAATCCCTTGAAAAAGTTTGAACTTACTGTGAATGAAGGTAATACCTACATATTTCAAAATTTTATGGCGGCTCCAAGCGATCCAAAATTCAGATCAACTCGCCATACTCACAAGATTGTGTTTATTAGCACTACTCGAGTAACTAATTTCCTTGCTGAAAATATTCTTGTTGTCACTTTTAATTTTACGGATTTCCATGATATCATTAATGACAGGGATGATACATGGCTTATAGGTAATTTCATTGTGTTAGATTATGTGTTCCATTAATTTATACCAAAGATTTCAATTTTTGTGTATAACAATTATTTCCTTTTAGATGTTATTGGACATATTATTGAAAGGGATGCTTTGAGATATTATTG